CCCCAAAACCCCAAAACCCCAAAACCCCAAAACCCCACCATTGTCTTCTCGTATTGAAATTAATCATAAGATCTATCATATCTCGGTGAACATTATCTTACAAAGAATTTTTAAGAATCAAATTTAATACATTTGTGTTTCAGAAAGTACTCGATTCTTTCAAGCATTTCTTCAGCTGTGTAGTCAAAGTTGAGTGCTCCTTCTTCACCTCTAAGTGCAACTGAGTATATATCGTAAGCCCTTGCAGCTTGCATTTGGCTAGAAAAAGTGCCAATGTATTTCTTGACTTTGCCGAGGTTAATGAGGGCTTGCCAGTTAGAGTTATTTTTAGAAACACCAATGTATTTAGATCTCCTTTTGAGACATTTTTTGTTACCACTTTTAGCTTTCTTTGATGAAGAACTAAACTCAGTAGCATCTTGGCTGATGATACGAGATCTTAAGGTCTGGAGGTCTTCTCTGATATCAAGTTCTTTCACCTTACGCTTACGCCTTTTAGGCAACGATGCAATACTCCAGGACTCTTCACTGTTTTCTGAAATAGATTCTTCTTCAGAATAGCTAGGGTTAGAATCCTCTATCTGATATTTATTAAAGGCAGATCCTTTAGAACTCCAATCGAATTGACTATCATTTTCATGTTTGGCTCTTCTAAAGAATACATTAGCATTATGAAATTGTTAAAAATAGTTTCAAAAGAAGTTAACATCCTTGTGTATCTTACAGTTCATTTCTGCTTTCTTCGACAGTTGTAGGCATAACCTCAGCTTTTTGGGAGGAGGGAGTCCAAGAATTTGTGCTCCGCAACACTCCTTCAGACTTGACATCAACGCAGTACGTTGGGCTGAGCTTTTGAAGGAGGTCTCAGTAGCTCCATACTAGCAATGAAGCTAAATTATTGCTGTTGTTAAAATTAGAGAAAATCATTTTTATTATTATGAGAATTAATTTTTAACTTCTTAAATAGTATTGCTTGCTAGGGCTGATAATTCTTGAGTAAGACTGGTGAAATTAGAAAATTCAGAAAGCTTATAAATATGCTAGTTCGATACCTTTGCCTTAGCAGATTAGAAATTTGAATAATTAGTAAACCTCATCGTCTGAGAAACTGTTCAGGTAGCTTCTTTTGCTAACTATACCAGCTAAAGAATGAATAATACTCATCTTTTGGAATTTACTCCAAGTTTTATGAGTTCTTGAATCAGCCAGGAGCGCCTAAGTATTAAAATAACACCCTCCTTCTTGTTGCTTTAGTAATATTATTCAAGCTCAGCCAGAAAGTTCCTCATATTTTATCAATAAAATATTAAAAAGAGGCTTATTCGTAAATATTTTGAGTAAATTTTGCCTTTAAATCTACAACTGGAGAACCATACAAACTTGGGAGCTTAATATTGGTCCTTCCAAACTTCATTCAAGATATTGTCTGTAGGTGTAGAACCCAAGAGACAATCTGAGGCTTGATAAAAGAGGTTGTGGAATAATTAATCCTGAAATTGCGCTAGTTTAAATAAATCCTGATATACGAGGCTATATTTCAAAAATTGGCTTAATACACACAATCCCTGAGCACTACTCTCACTTAACCTTCCAAATCAGTCCTCTCAAATCACAACCCCCTCTCCAACACCCCATCACCCCCATCACTCCCATTTCCCCAAATTCCCTACCTCTCAGCCACCCAGGCCCTTTCTTCTCAAATTTCCTCCTCTTCCTCCTCTTCCTCCTCTTCCTCTTCCTAAACTCCCTTCCTCAGCCCCTAGGTTCTTCAGTACATCCTTCAGCCACCATTTCTAAAACTTAGAATCCAAGTGAAATCAAGTTTTGGGGTTTTGGGGTTTTGGGGTTTTGGGG